AGCAGATACTACAAACAATGCTATGTCACAAAGCTGGAGCATCTAGAAGAAATGGTCACATTTTTAGAATCAAACAATCTCCTAAGACTGAATCAGTATGAAGTAGACAACTTGGAGAGAGCAATCATGAGTAAGGAAGCGAAAACAACTGGTAATTTAAAATCTGCTCAAGAACAAAAATTCAGGTCCTGATGGATTCACTAGTAAGTTCTGCCAAAACTTCAAGGAAGACTTATACTCTTTGGGTGAGTATTGGGTGCTATGTTCTATGGACCTTCACAATGTAAGTGGGGGTTTATACGTTGGAGTGCCTGGCATCAGCCATGCTACCAAGCTTTGAGTGGCTCACCCTAGACAGCATCCAGGCATTGAAGATCACAAGTGCCTTACCTGTGTCCCAAGTGAAAGAGGACCTAGGCAATTAAAGATTGTCAGAGTTTGTGGGAGGATGGCTTCCTGCCTACCCACTTTGAATGGGTTTTGCACAAGTAGCAGTTTGCAGGTATGATTTACTGGTGGATGCTGTCTGCCACTAGCCCTGAACTTGTGAGTTCATAGTCCCAGGAGGCAACCATTTTATCATTTTTTTGCTGAAAAGTGATTGTAGTTTTAAGGTCACCAAGGTACATGAGCTACTAAGCTACCGTGGTCACGGAGACTTTGGCTGTGGGTTGGAAACAGACTTAAATTTGAGGTAGACCAAAAGAGGCCTAGTGCCTCAAGCCATAGCTTGTGGCAGTATTCGCTCTCCATACCTGGCAGGGGTAGAGTCTGGCTGGCTCTGAGTCTTAATGCTAACTAGTTATACTCTGGCATGTCTGCAGTATGCTTTTTGTCTGTAGAGATGCATCATGCTTTCTGTCAGTTAAATGTGAAATGACTGGTTCTGGCTTTGCCAGCATTTTTTTAAAAATAATTTTTGATAAAGCACTTTTATTCTCAGCCCTTTGCTAACTGAGCTATTGGCTAGATGCAGGGGGACCTTTTCATGAATTTGTCCTCAGTTGTGTAGAATGAAATCCTATATGGTATCTGCCAGAACTCTCAGCAAGGTTGCAAGAATTTGTCAAGCTGGTACCTGCATGACTTCGTCCTGTTTCTACCTCAGAGTTCCTTTCTTTATATTCTTTCCTTTAAAACAGGATTTTATTCTTAAGTATTAGATGCACAGTTAAAATACCAAATAATACTGAGAGATTCTAATGAAAGAGTAATTGTTCTTTGTCTTCCCTTCTGCTTCTCAGAGGCAACCACTTGTAAGTCATTTTAGTGCTTCTTAAGTATAAAACTGTTTAAAAGTCTAAATAATTTAAATTTTAAATAAATTATATATAATTCAAACTATGCATTTAGAAATAAATCAAGTGTATTCATGTAAAATTATAGTTCTAAATAGAATTAAAATATATTAAATTTAATATAATCAATAGCACTGTAGCACTGTCCTCCCGTTGTTTATCGATTTGCTCGAGCGGGCTCAGTAATGTCTCTATTGTAAGAATTGTTGTTACTGTGTTTGGCATATCAAATACCTCACAGGTAGCTTGCCAGGCTTTGTTGTGCAGGTGAGATACTCTTGGTAGCTTGCTGGGCTGTCCGAGAGGGGCGGAGGAATCAAACTTGGGTCTACCTGGTTGGCCACGTGCAAGGCAAACACTCTACCCGCTGTGCTATGGCTCCAGCCCAATATAGTCAATATAATTATATATTATACTTAGAATAATATATAATTCTTAATAAAATTAATCCAAGGTTTATATTTTTAAAGTACATGTTGAGCTCTAAATATTTATATCTTGATTTGAAAGTTCTATATTGCTTTAAAATTAGGTACTATGGGGTTGGAACTACAGTACAGTGGATAGGACTTTGCCTTGCACACAGCCGACCCTAATTTGATCCCTGGCATCTCATGTGGTCCCCCAAGCCTGCCAGGAGTGATCCCTGAGTACAGAGTCAGGGATAAGCCCTGAGCATGACCGGGTGTGGCGTACACCCCCCAAAAAAACCCCAAAATTAATAAATAAAGATGTTTATATTTTTCTTCCGTTATGTTTTATTGCTTTTAGGATCACACCTAGTGATGCTCAGGGAAAGTCTTCCCATATATCTTAAAATGATTAATAAATTTTTATATACACATAAACTTTATTCTACATTTATTTTTTTATTTCATACCCACAATACAATAGTTTCATTGCTTAATGATGGGAGTTTGTTCTGAGAAATATAGTTAGATTATTTTGAAGTGCTAATGTCATACTATGTAAGCAATTCTAGATTTTTATAATTTACTATCAGCCTAATTAAGGTCTGCTTTTAACCAAACTGTTCAATTCATGACTGTAGTTCTTTAGAGATGTTTTCATTCATTAAGCAGTACAGTATTCCATTGTGCAGATATAATATATTTAACTAGTCATCTTTGATGGGTTACCCTTAGGGTCTTAGTTTTGCAATTTAGTGTTGGATAAAAGAGCTTGTATATATGTCTTTTTTGTGTGTTTTTACCACTTTAGCTTTATACTCCTAAGTGTAACATTGCTCAATCTGACCCATATATAAATTTGCTGTATATAAACAGGTCTATACAGATTTTTTTCAGTAGTCTACTATGTTTTTTCTTTTTAAAATTTTATTTTTATAAAGTTATTCACAATATTTGATTACATTTAATATTCAAATATCAATCCCACCACCATTATACTTCCCACCACCATATTTCCATCCCGAATCCCAAACCCCACCCCCAAAGCTAAAAGGTCACTTTATTTATCGCTATGCAGTCTTGCTAGCTTGTCATGTGAAGATTTCATACTTGAAAGAAACCAAGTATTCAAGGCCCTGAAAGTATCTGTTCTGTCTCTTTAATATAAGTACTGAAAAATTTAGTTAACTATATAAATATCTGATATGCTAATATAGCTTTAAAAACTTTCTAATACAGATAGTATACAAGAATATGAAAAAGTTTTCATTATCACTCATGATTAGGGAAATGAAAATCAAAACAACAATGAGATGCCACCCCATGCCTGTGAGAAAGGAACATGTCCAAAAATCTGGAAACAGCTGGTGTTGGCAGGGTTGGGGTGAGAAAGGAACCCTCATCCATTGATGGTGGGAATGTGCTCTGGTTCAGCCTTTATGGAAAACAATATGGCGATCTGTCCAAAAATAAGAATACAATTCAGTGATACCATTTTTTTTTTTTTTGGGAATCTATTGCCAAACACAAAGACCTTAACTTGAAAGGATACATCTGCATCTTTGTTTACTGCCACACTTTATAAACAGCCAAGAGATAGAAACAAGTCAAATGCCTGATTACAGATGAATGAATCTGTACATAAAAGAAATAGTATGTATACACAGTGGAATACTATGCCCCTCTACGAAAGAACAGAATCATGAAGCAACATGGATAGTACTATAGGATATCATGCTAAGTGAAGTCATTCAGATGGAAAGGGATAGAGAATGCTCTCTCATATATGATACGTAGATACACAGCAAGATAGCAACCAGTTGCCAAAGGCAGTCTAATAAGATAACTGGTCAACAAAGTTGACTTGGGTTTGGGACTTTGGAGGTAGGTGTCTTGGGGTCCTTGGGAGAGGGAGGGAGTACTCGTGAGTTTCCAGGAAAACCATGGGGGCGCACGGGGGATGAGAATGGTTGGTGGCCAAGAACTGTTCCCCCTGGCCCGCCCATGATGATAGCTGGATGAAGGACCAGGAGAATGGAGAAACAGGGCCCAGGCAAGTTGGTAGTCAGTTTATTTCTCTCCTCCCCGAAGCAGTTCGATCTCACCCTTACAGCACAATTGTAGTCATAGATGTGGTCATAGTCCCAGTCATCATATTTCCATTTGATAGTCCCAGTCATCATAGTTCCATCATCCTATTCCCCTCTTTCCCCTTACAGCATAGTTATATAGAAATCATAAAGGGTGGGGGTACACATAGGTGGAGTTGAACATTGTCATAACAATAAACAGATGTAAAGCCATTCTTCAGGGGAAGTTCTAAAAGATTAATGCAAGGACAAGATCTCATCTGAGGGTTCAGCACTCTAGATTACTAGGAGATCCTCTCAAGGGTGGGAATCCATCTAGGGTATATTTCTTTCTCCTTTCCTCAGCTAGTAATCCATTTAAACCATCATAGTAAATTTACTCTTACATTTCTAGTCATTTTGTATGAACACAGTAAGAGATATATTAAGCTTAAAGGTTGGTTCTTCCTGGGGACATCTCGCTGTATATCCTAGATGATAGTCCTCAGGCCAGGTTAGTCTTTTCTAACCCCAGTAGGGTCCTTATTCAGTTACTGCTTTTTGGGTAATGAACAGAGTGTGTTCCATGACCATGCTCTTAATGTATTATACTTATGGTGTTTAGCTTGTCCCGTTTTGATGCCAGGGTAGTTTACGGCTTGCCCTGGGTCCATCCTTGTCCCTTGTTGGGACCCTCCTTTTGGGGGTGTTAAGAAGTAAGGGCAACTGAGGCTTAAGTCGGGTATATATGACAGATGCTCAAGAGTAAATATTATTTGGAGTCAACTAACTCTCATGTTACAAAGCATGGCATCAACTGCCTTCCTATGTCCATACAAAAAGGACATTTCTAAACCATGAAGGTGATGTAAAGGAGAGAGAAAAGCAGTATAGGATTATTAGTGTTTGATGGAATTGGGTGTGCCTCAGGGGCACTGTTGTGGGAGTAACTCAGTAAACCTAAGCTCCCTGAGGGAAGACCAAGGACAACCCATTGGTATTCAACAACTGGTGATAGGTGTGGTTGGTATTGGAATTATGTCTGTGAGAATCCATTATTAGTAGCATTGTAAACCACCGTATCTTAAAGAAATTCAAGAAAATAAAAAAATGAAAATACTGTCTAAAACCCTATGAAAGAATTATTCCTACTCTCCAGGAAATGATAATGTTCTTGAGGTTTCTTATTTATTATAGACTTCAGGTGTTTTTTCTAACTTCAGTTTGCAGGCCTTTCAGATATATCCATCTCACAAGACATCCCGGTGGAAGGAGAAATTACCATTCCCGTGAGATCTCAGAGTCAGGAGTTTGACAGCTCCACGCTAAATGAATCTGTTCAGAATACCATTGTAAGTTATACTTGAGAAAACCACTGTTTTGGGAGTAGGTAATTGTGATTTTATTTGCTTTTTTTTGATTCTCTGGTTTTCGATATGTTTTATTTATTTTGTTTGATATTCATCCATAGAGAATAAATTGGTATAGCCTTTTTGGAAAGCAGTTTGGTTATAATTGGTATTTAGAATCTGAAAATAGAATCTTGGAGACAGCTTAAGTGGTAGAGCACACATGTAACTTGTATGAGGCCCTGAGTTTAATCCCTAGCACCATGTGGCCCCACAGTATCTCTGGATGTGGCTTTGGGGGACCCCGGGATACTGCCAGTTGTGCCCCCCACCCCATCCCAAACTTGAAATTTCCAAATCCTTTTAAGTTCTTAATGGTATTTCTCAGCAGCTAGGGACATTTTTTTAAAATAGTACTTATAAAAATACATAAAACTAGGAGCACTATATATGGTCCCCTGAGCACTGCCAGGAATGGTGATTCCTAAGGAAAGAGTCAAGAATAAACCCTGAATACAACCAGGTGTGACCCTCATAACCAAAAATACTGTCACACTGTCCTCCCATTGTTCATCGATTTGCTCGAGCAGGCCCAGTAACGTCTCCATTTTTTTGAGACTTGCTGTTACTGTGTTTGGCATATCAAATACGTCACGGGTAGCTTGCCAGGCTTTGCCGTGCGGACGAGATACTCTCGGTAGCTTGCCGGGCTCTCTGAGAGGGTTGGAGGAATCGAACCTGGCTCGGCCAGGCTGGCTGTGTGCAAGGCAAATGCCCTACCGCTGTGGTATCGCTCCAGCCCAGCCAAAAATATAGAAATTAAAAATACAGAAAGTTATTGTAGCACTGTCCTCCCATTGTTCATCGATTTGCTCGAGCGGGCACCAGTAACGTCTCTATTGTGAGACTTCTTACTGGTTTTGTCATATAGAGTATGCCACAGGGAGCTTGCCAGGATCTGCCATGTGGGCGGGATACTCTCAGTAACTTGCTGGGCTCTATGAGAGGGATGGAGTAATCTAAACCAGGTCGGCTGCATGCAAGGCAAATGCCCTACCTGCTGAGCTATCATACACAGAAAGTTATTAATATATAAAAATGTTCTTCAGAATAAGAAATAGTGTGTGGGTTAAAGGACTTGTCTTGCATACAGCCAACACCTGTTTGAACCCCAGCACCAAACATGGTTTCCTGTTCAGCACCAGGAGTGGTCCCTGAGTGGAGAGTCAGGAGTTAGCTTTGAGCACTGCTAGGTGGAGTCCAACCCCTGCCCCAGTTCTTCCTTATTGTATCCTTCGTAGTAGAGGTAAGTAGAAGAAGAGAGAAAATAGTAAGTGGTCCATTTGGTAGAATTTTAAGCAATCATTTAAAAAATGTTAGAATAATCATTAACAGACAAGAAATTTATAGGTTAAAACAGAATTATCCTGACTATATTTTGAGAGGCTCTCTCAATATTACTGTACCCTTCTTCAAATGTCTTTAGTGTTTTTTGGGGTTGTTTTTTTTGCTTCTGGGATTAATTTATCAATTAAATTGGGGATGATGAAAATGAATTATTTTGTATATTGTAAAGAATGTAACAAATAGGGAGCAACTTAAATGGTCTGTTATGTATGAGCAAAATGTCAGAGATTATTTTACAGAACAGTTAAATGTAGGCTGTTTTAGTTCCCTTAAATAACTTATTAGGAGATATATATTTCCCTTTTACAGATATTTAAAAATCAAAACAGAACTCATCGATGTGGTTCAGAGTTAGATATTGGCTTATGGAGTTTGAATACCCTACTTCTCTGATTTGTTTGTATAGTGAAGGAGTTAAACTGAAATTATAAATCTAAAATTCAATAAAGGGATCCCAGAAGAGTGAAATAAATGAAAGTTTAGCAATCTTGGTTATCACAATACAAAAAATTATTTATATTTTTCAGATGCGTGACCTCAAAGCTGTTGGGAAAAAATTCATGCATGTTTTGTACCCAAGGAAAAGTAATACTCTTTTGAGAGATTGTGAGTATGTGAGTTTTTATTGAGAATGTGATGCTTCTTTCTGTACCTTATCATAACTGTGTTATAAAGCAAAGTGTAGTAATAAAGCTGATATAATTTTATAATATGAAAATAAATATATAGCTCTGTAAATGAAATTTTGTGAGAAATTAAACATACAGAATGAAATTTCCACACTGGACAATTTTGCTTACTTTATTAATTTCATATACCCCTGCCTGATAGACGCAGCAAAAATTATTTCTGAAACTGCTAACATATAGGGACTTTGTTCAAGAAAGAAACTAACAAGCTGCAAGGGTAGACACAATGTTTGATTGCTAAATTAGACTAATAGCTATATTCATTAAGGATTCATTGATGTTTCAAAGCAATCACTTAGTCTGTGATTGATTCTTTGTTCAAGAGTTCTACCAAAATTATTGTAATGAATTATGTTCTTATTTAGAATTTATTTTTAAAATTGTTAGAACTTTCCCTTTTCTTTTCAAGAATTCTTGGTTTTCTTAGTACCCTTTGTCAGAAAACTTGAATGGGATGTTTTCAATTTAACATTGATGTTATACATGAGTATACCTCTGTTTTGCCAGCATTTCTGCTATAATAAAGGTATGTTAAATATACAGCAAATGTGACATGTTTCAGCATGTAGACTGGATACAGTGTCAGAATCTTTTTAATGTAGTGTGGTTAGAGCTAATATATGATTCACTATTGCTTGTATGGGCAAATATGGGTTTGAATATTGGTTTCATTATTAACTATCTAATCTTGGATAAGACAGTTAACTTTTCTGAGGCTGATGTTTATTCTTCTGTTGATATGGAGATAACATGTACCTACTGGTAAGGATTAGAGAAATGTATCTGCCATTTAGCATGCAACATTTAGTAGGCCTTCCATAAATGGTAGCTATGATTTTAGCCGTTCCCCTCACACATCCTTTTGTTGTTTGGGGCTATATTTAGTGGTACTCAGGGGCTATTCCAGGATCTATGCTCAGGAGTTGTTCTTCACAATACTCATGGAACCATGCAGTTCTGTGGATTGAACCTGGGCCTCCCACATTCAAAGCGTGCACTTAGCCTTTTAAGTTATATCTACAGTCCCTTCTTTTTCAGTTTCTTGTAACAGCTTTGTCAGATATGAGAGTGACTTTTTCTGTTTTGCAGATGCAGAAAATGAGTCTTGGGGATGCTAAGTATTTTATTATGGTCATGTAGGCACAGTTAGAATCAGTTTTAAGTTTAGTGCTTTTTTCTATTCTACCACTGCTGTCTTGAATATGAAGATATCGTTTCAGTTGCTGTTCAGAGCAGTATTGCTTCAGTTATGATGCAGAACTAGGTGTGCTGATGAATGATGAGTATTATATATGTCATATATATTAAAGTCCATTCTGAAACCTTGTGGGGATAGGCATAAAGGTTGAGTAAATCATGGTCAGAAATGTGCATTTCTTCTATCCTCTTTTATAATCCTGGTAGAGTGGCAAGGAAAAAATTAATTTAAAATGCTATCTACCACTTCACAACCATTAAGACTACTATGTTTTAAAAAAACACAGAAAAGTAACAAGTGTTGCCAAGATGTTAGAGAAATTGGAAATCTTGTTCTTTTCTGGTAGAAAAGCTAAATGGTGCCACTACTGCCGAAAACAGCATGGTGACTACTTAAAAAAATAAGCATATGATGTTATAAAAGATGAAGTCATGAAATTTGCATATAGGTGGATCAACATGGAAAGTATCATGTTAAGTGAAATGAGTCAGAGAGGGACAGACATAGAAAGATTGCACTCATTTGTGGAATATAAAGTAACAGAATGGGAGACTTAACACCTAAGAACAGTAGAGATAAGTACCAGGAGGATTACTCCACAGCTTAGCAGCCGGCCTTGCATGCTGGGGGAAAAGGCAGCTCAGATAGAGAAGGGACCACCAAGTAAAGGGTGCTAGGAGGGCCCGCTTGGGATGGGAGATGCAGACTGAAAGTAGACTATAGACCGAACATGATGGCCACTCAATACCTCTACTGCAAACCAAAACACCCAAAAGGAGAGAGGGCAGAAGGGAATGCCCTGCCACATAGGTGGGGTGGGGTGAGGTGGAGGGGACGGGGCAGGAGTGGTGGGAGGGATGCTGGGACCATTGGTGGTGGAAAATGGGCACTAGTGGAGGGGTGGGTACTCGATCATTGTATGGCTGAAACACAAGCACAAAAGTTTGTAAGTCTGTAACTGTACCCCATGGTGATTCATTAGTAAAAAATTGAAAAAAATAAACATATGACCCAGGAATTCCATTCAGGATATATACGAAAAAGAATTGAAAGCAGGGACTCAAGCATTTATACATCTATGTTTATAGTAACTTTATTCACAATAGCCAAAAGGATGGGCTGGAGCGATAGCACAGCGGTAGGGCATTAGCCTTGCACGCAGCCAACATGGCCGACCCTAGTTCTATTCCTCCGCCCCTCTCAGAGAGCCTAGCAAGCTACTGGGAGTATCTCGCCCGCATGGCAGAACTTGGCAAGCTACCCGTGATGTATTTGATATGCCAAACACAGTAACAACAAAGTCGCCAATGGAGACGTTACTGGGCCCGCTTGAGCAAATCGATGAACAACGGGAGGACAGTGACAGTGACAGCCAAAAGGATGAAACAACTCAAATGTTAATTGACTGATAGATGAAAAATATGGTATATGTCATATATGAATTAAATATTATTCAACCTTAAAAAGGAATAGTTTGGGGGCTAGAGATACAGTACAGTGCATAGGGAGTGTGTCTTGAATGCAACTAACCTGGGTTCAATCCCTGGCATCTCATATGGTTCCCCAACACCAAATTCCTGAGCTCAGAGCCAGGTGTACTTTTTGTGCATCACTGTGTGGCCCATAAAGTGAAAATGAAAGAATGGCTTTCTGACATTCTACAAGGACGAATCTTGAAGGCATTATACTGAGGAAAAAAGCCAAACACAAAGGGCATATATTATATGTAGGGACTAGAGTACTTAAGTTGCTTAAAACAAAGTAAAAAAAACTGATGCTTTCAAGGGACAGAGTAAGAGTATGGAGTTACTGCTGAATTGGAGTTTTAGTTGAAAAAATTATGAAAATAGATATGGTGGTGGCTATATAATGAACATACTCAATACCTATACATTGAAAAGGGATTAAGCATGGTAAATTTTGTGTCACAAAGATTTTTAACAATAAGAAAATAGTGTTAAAGTATCATTACGGATATTTTATGAATTACCAAATAAGGGCGTTTGAAAAAGCCAGCATGTTGATGTCAGTTATATTTGATTAGGTAGAAAAATTAAGAACAGCTAAAACTTGATCAAAATGGGAAGATTATGATTTTTACATCTATTCCAAATTTTTTACAGTGATTTACAATTAATTGTAAATTAAAGCATGCAAATACACACCTCATTTGCATAACATTACATATATTACGTATATTACATGTAAAAATATTAACATTACATGAATATGAGTTAAATGCTGGACAGGATTGGAGAGATAGTACAGTGTATAAGCCATTTACCTTGCATGCAGCTGACCTAGGTTTTATCCCCTGCACCCCATATGGTCCCCCGAGCCTGCCAGGAGTAAACTCTGAGTGCAAAGCCAGGAGTGACCAGCACCAGGTATGACCCCAGCACCAAAAGTTATAGAGTATATATATGTGTGTGTGTGTGTGTGTGTATATATATATATGCCTATTTTGTGTTTGCTGAGGAAGGTTGATTATACTCTATGTTGTTACTGAATTATTTCCATATTATTAGTCACCCAACAACTATTAAGAACCAGTGTGCTTAAATGTGATGTTCACAGAAACTTATAATTTTGGAAAAATTTTATGATATACTTGCTTAACTTATAAAAGTGTCAATATTGAACTAATTTATCACCTTAAGAACAGCAGTTTCATGGCAGAAGATAGTTCAAGTGGTAGAGGACATGCATTTTCAAAGTCCAGAATTTTTTTGTTTTGTTTTTTTTTTTCCTAAGGAAAATGTAAAACTTTATATTTTAGTATTATGTAAAAATTCTAAATCTATAATTTTAGTTAGAATTAATATTTCAAGGTGTGTGGTACAAGATCATATACAAGAATTTTATTTCTCATATTTCTACATTCTAGAAATTAGAACGTGAATTTATAAAATAAATGTCATTTATAGTAACAGAAATTTCTGTAGGAGCCACATCCAGCCAAGTTCAGTCCAGCAGTATTGGCAAGGTCCTTAACTTCATCCTTTGAATCACATTTCCCCTTGAGAATCACTGTGTATCGCCCTGGTGTTCCTGTGCTGGCCACTGATTATTGCTAAATGTGCCCCTATTAAAAAAGGAACAACAATTCTATTCTAGTTAAATATAATACTTATAAAAGGAAATTCATCTGCAGAGTAGGAAAAGAAGACCTAGGTTTTGGTCCTACATCTGTAGTCTATGAACTTAAGAATGTAATTCTCTTCTCAGCATCATATTTTCTATTTGGAAAAGACCTTAATTATACTTGTAGCCTCAGATTGATGACTTGATTTAACTGTTATCTTCCTTATGAGGATGCTGGGTGGGGCTCCTAGGTCTTCTAAGTGTCCTTTGACTATTGTGTATGTTCGAAATGACTTAATAGCTAGGCAATGGAATGTTTTGTGGGATATGAAGTTGATATACCTTGAAAGATAGATGAGTAAGCACATTCAGAATTGAGAGCATAAAAGGGAAAGTAGAGGCAGATTGGCTTGGGCAGAGAGTGCTTTTGATTCTGAATCCCAAGAATGAAAGATGCAGATATTGGAATAAAGAGAGAAAATACCTCATGATTGTTTCTTAAAAGTTCTCTGTGTTTTCTTGCCTTCTAGGGGATTTATGGGGCCCTTTGATCCTCTGTGTGACACTCGCATTGTAAGTACTTGTCATTTGATATGGACAAGATTTTTGTCAAATTTCAAAACTGAGGGGGCTTTGACTGAATATTTCACTTAGGACTTCTGTAACATGTTGTATTCCTTTGTATTTAAATAAAATATTCAAGTAAACTTTCAAATCAAAGAGTGTTTGAATTAAAGGTGTGGAAAATACGCTCACGTTATTTACTAAAGATACTGCTTATACTGTTTTTGTCATGTCTTTTCAACATAGGAACCTCCCGATTATCAAACTCAGTAAATTAACTATAGATTCAAGCACTATGTATTCCCAAACATCATTGTTTTAAAATCTTACTAAATCACGAATGGGGCTAAATTAACATAGAAGCAGTACAATTCAAAATGAGATTTTGTTTCAAAGTGTTTGTATTCATCTCATATAAAGAAAGAGAACAGAAGAGCTAGACTTTCTGCTGTTAGCAGTGTAACTATGGGTTACTAATAACCAAAATCTGCATAATGGTTTTTAATGGTTTATAGAAAACTTCCAGAGTCTGAGAAGTTAATTTATTAACTTAATTAAATTAATTTAAATTAATTTCCTTTTTGCTCTGACAAATAATGTCAGATTCAGAAAGTTTGAAGACTGAATCTAGATTATAGTGGTAGAACCGGGGTATTTTCAACCTAAGTTTTCACTGATTGTCCCATTCTCTAACTTCTGTGGTTATTACATATCTTTTCCAACTTAACATTTCTGTGACTTCTTTTACATAGCTATAGTTTGGGATCTATAGTTTATAGGTGGTTTGGGATTCTTTCCAGGTCTGTTTCTTGGGTGCAACACATCTGACAGGTGCTCAAACTTATTCCTGCCTCTGTGCTTAGGAATCACTCCTGGTGGTTCTCTGTCTCCAGCTTTTTGCCAACAGGTATAATTCAGTGTCTTCATGGCTTTATTTTAGAACCTTTGAACCATCTTGGAAAGGTCAGTTTTCGAGGTTATGTACTGTAACCCTGCTTACTTGCAGTGAAGAAATCCAGAGTCTCAAGATATTGATTGAGTGGTTTACTATATTTTATATATCTACTGACAAAATTAGGGTCCAGTATATGAGTCCCCTTTCCAAGGCAGTTAATATTCTTTCCAGCATACCATGCTGAAGGAATTCCAGAAAATTGATGTATTCTGAGATTCCTTGTGTCATATTGCCAGGACTCAGAATGAACTGTGTATAATCTAGAGTACAAAAATCTGTGTAGGTGGACTAATGAGATATTACATGTTGTTAAAGTGCTTGGTTTGCATGTGGCCAACATGGTTCTATCCCTGGCACCACATATGATTCCCGTAGCACTCCCAGGAATCACTACTGAGCGAAAATAGGAATAGTTCATAAGTCTGAGCATTGTGAGGCCTCAAAAAAAAGAGCTCAATTTCTAATTTTTTAAGAATCGTACATACTGTTTTCCAAAAGGGCTGAACCAGTCAGCATTCCCAACAGCAGTAAAGGAGGGTCCCTTTCTCACCACATCCGTGCCAGCACTGGTTGCTTTTATTCTTGTGGATGTGGGCCAGTCTCTGGTGTGAAATGATATCTCATTGTGGTTTTGATCTGTGTCTCCCTGATGATTAATGATGTGGAGCATTTTCTCATGTGCTTTTTAGCCAGCCATACATGCTAGGGGAAAAGGGAGCTCAGATAGAGAAGGGAGCACCAAATAAAGGGTGTTGGAAGGATCCTCCCAGGATGGGAGAAGCATTTCGAAAGTAGACTATAGACCAAACATGATTGTCACCCATTGCCTCTTTTGCAAACCACAACACCCAATAGGAGAGAGAGAAAAAAAAAGGAATGCCCTGCCACAGAGGCTGGGTGGGATGGGAGGGGATGGGTGGTGGGAGGGAGGGATACTGGGATCCGTGGTGGTGGGAAATGGGCACTGGTGGAGGAATGGGTATTTGATCATTGTATATTTGAAACCCAAGCACGAAAATTAAGTCTACAACTGTACCTCATGGTGTCTCACTAATAAAAATTAAAAAAAAAAATAAAGTGCAACCAAAAACCTAGACTAGTAAATGGCATAACAGGATGAATAAGAGTCCTCTCCATTTTATATAATGGGGCAGACTTGTGAAATGATTTTATTTTGTTTGCTTTTCTTTGGGTCCATACTCAGTAGTTTCTGGAGATTCCACCCTGCTTGATGTACAGGGGACCATGTGGTTCTGGGGTTGAAATTGGGACTTCTGCATACAAAATATGTTCTCTAGCTCTCTCAGCATCTCCCATGTCTACTATTTTGTGACAAATAAAATTACCAGTTTCAAATATTGTTAAGTCAAAAAATGAAAAATTATGTCTCTAAGAGTCTTAGAAATTTGTGTCTTTACAACTGCTCAATTTCAATTTCAAAGTAGTTTTTTTAGTAAAAATAATGTTTTTATTTTTAAAAGGTCAATAAATAAGTAGGTTTTTAGATTGTTTCCATTTATCAGACTGAAATTCCTTGTGAAGGAATGTGGTATATCAGTTGCATCTGTGTATTGCCAGATGGGGATATAGGCCCAATGTTAGAAACTTCTGATATTTCTTTACAGTCCAAAATACATGTATTATGTGAAATTTTCCAATTTGTAAACAATTTTCCAATTTGTAAACAATATCATATTCTCCAAAGAACTCATACAAATGGCCCACAGACGTGTGAATAAAATGCTGACCATTAGGACCAGCCTGGCAGATAGTACAGAACATAAAGCCCTTGCCTTGCATGCGGCCAACTTGAGTTCGATACCCTGGGATCATATATGGTCCCTTGAAATCCATCAGGAATGATCTCTGAGTACAGATCTCTGAGTACAGGAATAAGTCTTGAGCACAGCTATGTATGGTCCACAGGGGGAAAAAAAGCTCACTGAAAGTTATTAGGTAAATGAACATTAAAACCAAAATAAGCTATGATCTCACATTTCTGAACATGGTCTATGTCAAAAGACTAGGATCAACATTGGATATTCTACAAGGAGGAACTCAGTGTACTTTGTGGGAATATAAATTGGTATAGAGTCTATGGGAAAGGGTAGAGTCTAAGGGAAAGGATATAGAGATGCCTTTAAAAATATAAATTGCAGGTTAGAGAGTTAGTACAGGGGGTCAGATGCTTCCTTTGCTGACCCAGATTCAAATCTTGGCACCACACACAATCCTCTGAGCATGGCCAGAAGTGACCCTTGAGCACAGAGCCAGGAGTAAGCCCTTAGCACTACAGGGTATGGCCCTGAAAAACAAAAAAAGAATGAAAAAAGCACAAATAAATAACATTTTATCTAGTAATGCCACTCTTAAGCGTTTATCTGAAGGATATGTTTTGTTTTAAGACCACATCTGGCTGTGCTCAGGGATTATTCCTGTCTCTGTACTCAGAGATCACTTCTGATTGTGCTCAGAGGACCATATGTGGTATTGTAGATAAAAATCCAAGTCAGCTCTCTGCAAGGCAGTTATTATCTCCAGCCCCTATCAGAAGAGTACGAACACTCTAATTAAAAAGTATATGTTTGCCTGTCTCATGAGCTGGGGGAGAAGGCAGCTGGAATAGAGAAGGGATCACTAAGACAGTGATGGCTGGAGGAATTGTTCGGGATGGGAGATGTGTGCTCAAAGTAGATAAAGGACCAAATGTGATAACCTCTCAGTATCTCTATTGCAAACCATAATGCCCCATAATGCCCCAAAGTAGAGAGAGAGTATGGGGAAAATAGTCTTCCAAGGTGCAGGGGAAGGGTTGGAAAGGGGAAGTATACTGGCGACATTGGTGGTGGAGAATGTGCATTAATGGAAGGGTGGGTGTTTGATCATTGTATGATTGAAACTCAAACATGAAAGCTTGTAACTGTATCTCACGGTGATTCAATTAAAAAAAAGAAAAAATGTGTATATGTATCCCTGTGTTCATAGTAGCATTAGTTACAATAACCAAAGCATAGAAAATAACCAAAGCATAGAATCAGGATAAATACGCATGATAGATGAGTGCATAAAGAAATAGTGGTATATGCCCAATAGAAATCTATTTAAAAGATGAAATTCTACATTTAGGAAAATATGGAAAATATGGATGAATATATATATATATATATATATATACATATATATATATATATATATATATATATATATATTGCTTTTCGCGTCACACCCAGCGATGCTCAGGGGTTATTCCTGAATCTGCACTCAGAAATTACTACTTGGGGGGACCATATATGATGCTGGGAATCAAACCCGGGTTGGCTGCGTGCAAGGCAAATACCCTACCCGCTGTGCTATCGCTCCAGCCCCAGGATGGATATTTTTAAATTTTGCTTTAGGCACCATGATTTATAAAACCCAGATTTAAATCCTGACAACCCTACAGTAAACATTCCAGCACCACACACTGCACCCGAGTGCCCATTTTCCTCAACCAGTGTCCCACCCCCATCCCTCCCTGTGATGTTACCTAATGAAGACTAGTTCTCAATTGCTATTGCCTTTGAGCACTTTTTAATTTCCCAAATATGATTCCTTATATCTCACATGTGATAGCAATCATTCTGTGGTCTACTATCTTCACTTACCATGATACACCCCAGATCCATCCACATAGCAGTGAATTGCATAATTCCATTTTTTCTTAAACTGAGTAGTATGATTCTTTATCCAGTCATCTGTTATTTGACACTTGGAAATGGATTTTGAGGTAATATTCTAAGTGTAATACGAAAGTAAAGACTATTTGAGGGGAGTTGATGGTCCCACTCAGCTGTGCTCAGGGCTTAATCCTGGTTCAGGGTTCAGGGATCACTCCAGGGGACCATGTAGGATGTCGGGGATTGAACCTGGGTCGGGGTTCAAGGAAAGCGTCCACTGTTATCATCGCTCTGGCCCAAGACCATTTTTGGGTGGTTTCACTTACTGTGGAATATGAAGTATTAAATATGAAATATTAGGCAAATGAACTATAATGAATCATAAAACTGACTCCTGGACTTAGTGAAAACTCAGTTATTAGAGGATATCACTGTATCACTATATCACTATCATCCCATTATTGTTCATCGATTTACTCGAGTGGGTGCCAGTAACGTCTCCATTTGTCCCAGCCCGGAGATTTTAGCAGCCTCTTCTCACTCGTCTTTCCTAACGCTACCGTATTGGAGGCTCTTTCGGGGTCAGAAGAATGAGATGTTATTGTTGCTGTTTTTGGCATATCGGGTAGCTTGCCGGACTCTCCAAGAGGCACACACATATATATATATATATATATATATATATATATATATATACTTCCCTCTATGATTTGTTGCCTACTGTCTGAACCCTACCAAGTGTGGTGTGGTAATTATGGAGAATGGGTAGGGAGTGTCTTATGATGTGTCTTATGTCACAGCCGTGTGGTCCAGGAATATATTCACTCGTGAGGCTCAGCCTGAGCGTGTGGAAAGCTGCCTGGAGTATGGTGGAGGTTGGGTAGTTCAGGCCGGTTGCCAGGGCTGGGTCCCTTGGGGCGGGGCGGGCTCTCACCCACGCCGCTCTGGGGCACTCTGAGTGAAAACAGCCTGGTGCGGAGTTCGGTGGCATAGTTATGGGGGCCTCATTTTATGCTCCCTTCCGGGAGAAGCAGCCCGAGTTCTGGAGCGTGGTCGATGAGATTATCTGGCGCCAGCAAGAGGTGGCTTAAAGGTGTGATCCCTGTGTTGCCAGAGACTGGGAGAAGCAGGCAGGGGATCTCTGCTCCCAGGTCCCATTGTGCGCAGAGTCCAAGGTCACAAAGTTCCACATTATCTTGGTTCCGTGGGACTTCACTCATGTGTGAGGCTCTGCCCAAGCATGTGGAAAGCGGCCTGGAGCATGGCGGTGGTTGGGTGGTAGAGGTTGGCTGCTGGGGCTGGGTCCCTTGGGGCAGGGAGGGCTCTCACCCACTCCCTCTGGTAATCTCATCAGCCACCCTCCAGAACTCACATGCCACCAGACTCTGCGCCAGGCTGTTTTCACTATTAGAGGGTAAAGACATTCAGAACTGATGTGTTTTGGTAGTAGGATGGCACTGGAAGTTTGGTGGTTCCATTGGTAATGATTGTCCATATATAGAATTATAAAGCTAAACCTTGGAATTCCATAATATATAAACCAGTGCTGAGACAATGGAAACATAAAAATATAAAAAAAGTAATAACTAAAAAGTCGTCATCTTTTAGTATCTTTTTAAATGCACTTTATTTAATATGTATTTTTAATGACTGTTTAAGAACTGCTTTCAGAATTCCTGAAAATTTAGCAATTGGCTTTTGCAAACTAGTATAAATTAAGTACAAAACAATGTTGTATTCACTATTTTGCTTCTTTTCTTTTCTAAGATTGAACTCCTGTGATTGAGTTTAAACTGTTCAGCTTTGTAGTGGGGCTTTAGGTATGCAGCTTTGGAGGACGAAGCAGGAGTCAGCTACACAGTGTATTAAAGGATGGAAGCTTTATGGGATGGGTTGATAGGAAGACTACAGGAAATTGGAAGTAAGAGTAATCCTGCTTTATAACAGATGGATCTATCCCTACTGAGAAAGTCATAGAGAAGGTCAATATAGTTCAGTTGTTTTTTTTAAAAATTTTATTAGTGAAACACCATGTGTAAATTTGAATTATTCAAATCTGAAAGTGTTATATATAAAATATTGGTAGCCTCTTTATAAGAACAATATTTAATATTAAAAGTAATGACAAATTCTTGGATTTTGACTACAGAACTAGTGGAACTTTGGTGGGGTGGAAAGAGGCAGACTAGAAGTGACACGGGAATAACCATGTTACCTAAATCTCCCATACATCTCTTTGTCCATTAGTAAATATAAAACTTAGAAGATTAATACAGATAGTAGTACCATGCGTATACACATTTCAGGAATGAAACACTGATAGATTCTACCAAGAACTCTAGTTAACTGAAGGTGAAGGAATAAGGGATAATGGAATAGGAAATATAGGAAGAATTTTTCAAATTACACTAAAATGCTGATGACAAACACAGGGCTTATAATGCTTAATTATATATTTTTATTGTATATTTATGTGCATTAACAAATTTTATTTCTTGCCCTTTTCACAATAGTTATACAATTTTGATTGATGTTTTCTATATGTTATATTATTTATAGAAATATATGTTAATTTTTAACATAATAGGTATAAAATAGACTGTTTTAGAGTTATAGATAACATTTTTATTGAACTAGAAGAGAGAGAAACAGCATTCTAGAGTTGAAAGCAATAAGAAAGTGAAACACCGTGGCCAGAGAGATAGCATGGCACATGTGGCCTTATAGATGACCAATCCTGGTTCAGTCCCAGAACTGGTACCACATGGTCCCTGGGTATACTCCTGGAGACCCCTAGCCCCACTGGGTATGTGACCTGGAGGGCCACCCAACAGTTCTGGGGTCATCCTGTTAGTTCTTAATACAGGTTAGTCCTTGATGCAGGTTTAACTTAGTGGCAGATTAACTTAGTGGCAGCACTGCATCCTTGGACCCTTGCATTGAGTAGCTTATCCAATTAGCTAAGAATTGCCAGAATTAATGTCTGCAATGGTTGGGAGACACCACCTTCCCCCAAAAGTTCAAACACTGCCAAAAGGTACAATAAAAATTTAAATATCATCTTGAATTTGGTTCTATTTATAACATCTGCCTAGTACAGAAAGGGTTTTAGTAATCAAAACATTTCCCACAATGTGAATTGGAGGTGGTGTAAAAGGTAAAGGTAAAGGCTCTCCCGTTGATCGTCGATTTGCTCGAGCGGGCCCAGTAACGTCTCCATTGGAGACTTTGTTGTTACTGTGTCTGGCATATCGAATACTCTCGGTAGCTTGCCGGGCTCTCCGAGAGGGGCGGAGGAATTGAACTCGGGTCGGCCATGTTGGCCGCTTGTAAGGCGAACGCTCTACCCGGTGGTGTAATTTTTGAAATTTGAAATAAAGGGAGCCTTGCTAAATTCTTCTGGTTTTTTCTTTTCACTCAACTTATTTATATATTATAAATCTTCAAATTTGGTAAGTATAAAGCAGCTTTATGGTTCAAAGTTTGAGAAACCTAGCTTTTATTTTGCTGTGTTAATTGAAAGATTTCACAATTCTCATACCATTTTCTTGTCTCAGGATGCTTCAAAGAGGCTCTGTAGATAGTGAAAAAGATGGAGGCCCCCAATTTGCAGAAGTGTTTGTCATTATCTGGTTTGGTGCAGTTATCATTACCCTCAACTCAAAACTCCTTGGAGGAAACATGTGAGTAATACTAAAAAGTACTTTTTTTTCTTGGCCCAGGTTCAAGGAAGTCTGCTTGGATAGATATTTTAAAAATAAATGAAGGACAGAGAACAGTCTTTTAAAAAAATCACTGGGGCTGGAGCAGTAGCACAGCCAGTAAGGTGTTTGCCTTGCACACAGCCGACCTGGGTTTGATTCCCAGCATTCTATATGGTCCCCCGAGCACAGACAGGAGTAATCCCTGACCATCGCTGGTTATGACCCAAAAAGCAAAAAAATAAAAAATAAATAAATCACTAAGTAAAGATAACCCAATGAAATTATTATTATTTTTTTAATTTTCAAGGATTGGTGCAGCAGGTAAGGCATTTGCCTTGCACATAGCTTACCCGGTTCCATCCCTGGTGCCAGATATAATTCCTTGATCACTGTCAGGAGTGATCCTTGAGCACACAGCAGAAGTAAATTCTAAGCACAGCCATGTGTGGCCCCAAAGCAAAAATAAATAATCAAAAGTTCTTGATGAGCTTGATGATCTCCAGTTTTTGAAATCAGTGATAGAATTTTTGTTAGATTATATCCATTTTGGCACGTAAATGATTCATAGTTTTCAATAAATTTGTATATTAAAAAATTAAGGTTTTCTTGGAGAATTGAGGTCTTTGGGAAGTAGAGAAGATCAATTATCTAGATAGAACATCTAGATAAATATCCCATATCAATCATCTTTAATCACCAGTCCACAGACCAGTGATAGGCCACAGGTTTACCACCTTTGTTTTAATTGATAGTTGGTGGATGGTATGTAGGACAGATATAAAAATGTTGAAGAATGCTCTCCTAATGGTTGACTTTTAAAGAGTTTAGCAGAAGGAATAGTATGAGAATAGGAAAATGTAAGTATATGCTTAATACAGAGGTCTGTCTTCATGAAATCACTGTTAAAGTATGGGTATTATGTATTACAGGGAGATAACAATACATAGAAATTTGTGTAATTAACTGTTATGATACAGATCAGCTATATTTTGATATTTACTGGTATATGTTGTCTTCTAGATCTTTTTTTCAGAGCCTCTGTGTATTGGGTTACTGTATACTTCCCTTGACAGTGGCAATGCTGGTTTGCCGGGTTGTACTTTTGGCTGAGCCAGGACCAGTAAACTTCATGGTTCGACTTTTTGTGGTGATTGTTATGTTTTGCTGGTCTATAATAGGTAAGACTGTAATTATCTCTATTATGTAAGAGCAGGCAAAAACATAAATAAGAGATGAAGGAGCAGTATCACTCACATGTGAGTGCTATGATTTCTGCTACCTTCCATAGGACATCATATTCTAAGTTGACATTGATTGGGATGATGTCCATGTTATCTGAGTTTTGATATATATATACGTATAAGATGTAGAAAGTCACATCCTTCTAAAAAATTCTTATGTAAGAATTAGGGTTGGGAAAGGAACTTATACTAGGCTTATCTTGCTTGGTCTTGCTATGTAGGAGGCATTGATGGTTTTTGAAATGATTTGGGCCTTTTCCTAATGAATTACAGTAAATTTAATATCTAGCATTTATACATTGCTTATTATAGTCCAAGCAAATTTTAAGTGATTAATGTACAGTATATCATTTAACGCCTACAACTGTAATGAAAGCTCTTTTTAATTACAAATTTTATATTACAAATTTAAAGTGTAATAATTTGTGTTTGTATATATTGTGAAATTATCAGTTTACTAGCATCTATTACTATATTTATATATGTAAGCTGCTTTTCTTCTAATGAGAACTCTTTAAAAAAATAAAAAACATACTGGTATGAGTATATACTGCAGTCTTTTGGGGGAGACAGGAGTCAAGTCCAGTTGTCTTGTACAAGGCAGGCACTTTACCACTGAGCTATATGCTCCAACCCAAAAATTTTTATAGAGGAGAAATAGACTCACAGGGTTAAGCAACTTGCCCTATAATATGTAACTAGTGAATAAGTAAATCAAGTTTCATACTGTAGCAGATCATACACTAATTTAGAACTAAATTTTACCACTTCTTAGTATAAGTTATTAAGAATCATTATATAATAATTTTCTGCTTCATTAAAAATTATTTAGTCATGTAATTTTCCAGCAGGTAGGACTCTTGCCTGTCTTGTGGCTGACCCAGGTTCAATCCCTGGCATCACACATGGTCCCAAGCCCTGCCAGGAGTGATTCCTGAGTACAGAGCCAGAAATAAGCCCAGAGCACCATGGGGTATAGCCCCAAAACCAAAAATGTAAATTCTTTAAAGAGTAGGAAAAACATATATAATTAAAAATAAATGCTATCAGCTTTTTTTTTAATTATTAAAATTCCATTTTAAATTAGAAAGAAATGTTCACTAGCTTATTTAATGTTAGGCAAATTGTCTGATATTTTAGGAACAATAAATGTTTAGTAACATCTCAGTGCTCTGAAGCACAGGTAAAGCCAAGAAATAATCCAGAAATGACCAGAGAAAGTCATAATTGTTACTTGAAAAACTATATATTAATCTTGCGTACTTTACCTATGGGAGAGCCCCTCATTCTCTCTGATAATTTACCACAAATGTAGTTCTGAATACCTTATTTATCCGTGTCCAGACCCAAGCAGTTCAGAAAATCGAGAGGCTCCTATCAGCTCTCATTCTTTAATTCAGAAAATATGTGATAAAAATGAACCATGCATCAGACATTGTGCTATTCATGATCTCTAACCTCCAAGCACATAATCCAGTAGAATAGCTATACAGTCATGTAAAGGGGTAATATAGTGTCCCAGGTCACTGTCTCTGTCCTCCCGTTGTTCATCGATTTACTCGAGCGGGCCCAGTAACATCTCCATTGTGACACTTTTTACTGTGTTTGGCATATCAAATATGTCACAAGTAGCTTGCCAGGCTTTGCCGAGCGGGTGAGATACTCCCGGTAGCTTGCTGGGCTCTCCGAGATGGGTGGAGGAATCGAACTCGGGTCGGCCATGTTGGATGCATGCAAGGCAAATGCCCTACCCGCTGTGCTATCGCTCCAGCTCAGTGTCCCAGGTAAAAGATGAAAATCTATACAGTGCAATAGAGACAACAACAGGAAGTCAGCAGTTCTACATGGGGTGGCAAAATACCAAATGATTGCTCAATAACTATTTATTTGAAGGGTCATCCCTAATGAGCAAAAAGATGAATAGATTTTTTTATGAGTCGATAAGAGGGATAGTATTTAAGAGAGATGATAACTTAAAATATACTTTTTCGAAAAGCACAGCAGTTTGAGACCACTGGCCATAGGAAAAAGTAATCCAATAGATCTTTGTAAGCATATGTAGAACAAGCCAATTAACTTCTCCATAAAGAGAAAAAAAAACCCTTTTAGAAAGTTTTACATCCAAAATGATGGTAACTTTCAAAGTTTAAGTATTTGAAGCAAGAAGTTCTCAACTGTATGAAAAGTCATACTACAAAATGCCTTTTTCTCCGAGGATCACAAATATATCTTAACTATTAAAAAATTAATTCTAAGTTGTGACATGACATTGTGTTAAATGTTTCTTTCTGTTTTGCTTTTTTTTTAGCTTCTACAGCTTTTCTTGCTGATAGTCAACCTCCAAACCGCAAAGCTCTTGCTGTTTATCCTGTTTTCTTGTTTTATTTTGTCATCAGTTGGATCATTCTCACCTTCACTCCTCAGTAAATCAGGAAATGGAAATGAAAAACTAGTGAATTGAAAATTTATTTAAAAGATAAAATTGATCATGGAATTTTACCTCTAGCCATCTTTCATGTAATTTTGGAGGTATTTGAAAACTGGTCATGTGAGGACGTTATACGGGAGCCATAAAACACAGTTGCTTCTTATGTAAGGAACTGATGTTTGAAGGTTTTTCTTTTTCTCTTCATGATATCATTTCTTTTGAATACATATATATATATATAGTACACAGAGTAAAATTGCTCCTGAAGGTATGCTGGAGTTATCATGGTCCATTTGATCACAGCCAGTACCTGGGAAGCACATGCATGCATCCTGCAAGTTGAATAAAGTTGGTAATGGTATTTTCACTTTTGAGAACACCTGTTCAGGTGCAGCTCTTAAAACACTGCCTTATGACTACTAGAATAAGCCTCTTTTTATAGATAAGAGTGAATAGTCTGTATCTGTTTCCTTTATTTTTTAAGCTTAAAAAGGCTATCACGTAGATTTGGGAGGGTGTGTTAATATATGTTGTAGGGAAAAAAAATCATTAACCAATATACAGATTTTGATCAGAGAAAAGTCTACATTTGTTACTTTAAAAAAAAAATTAAAGGATATGTAAAGAGTCTGTCTTTGATCTTTCTATGCAGTCACCTTTTCTGCTATGCTCAACAGCATCGCAGTGACACTAGTTTTTTCTTACTCCCTAGCTCTGAATATGCTGGCTATAATGTTAGCTTTCACTCTGTAGCTTTCCTTTGATTCCTTTGACTGAATCTCTCAGTATACTGATCTTTTTTTTTCTTTTTTTTTTCTTTTTGGGTCACACCCGGCAATGCACAGGGGTTACTCCTGGCTCTGTGCTCAGGAATTACCCCTGGCTTTGCTCAGGGGACCATATGGGATGCTGGGAATCGAACCCGGGTCGGCCGCATGCAAGGCAAACGCCCTATCCGCTGTGCTATTGCTCCAGCCCCTATACTTATTAACTAATTTAATTAAATAAGTTAATTTTAACTTATTTAATTAAAGGACCTCAGAAACTTAGATTGGTAATTATAATGTAGACATATTTTCTTAAAGGTATAATGAGACAGTTTGGATACAACATAGCTATAAATGATTCTCCATTCTGTGCAATCTCAACTTCGATTTAGTGAAACTAAATCAGAAGACTACAGTTAACCATGTGAACATGGTTATTGCTCTGATAACTGAAACAATTGCGGAACAACCCAGCTTTAGGCCAAGCTAAGTTTCTAACTTTCACTTTTTTTCATAGCTTGCTGCTTTGCTTGTGCTTTTAGAATTAGGGGATAGCAAGTTTTCTTGGTTCTAAACTTCAGTTGTAAAGCTAATTCGCACCTCTTCAGACAAGTATTGTTTTTTGCACATATGGACATACTTGTATTCTCAGCTATCTGTGCAACTAAGTGTGAAGGCTTTCCAGGGAGGAGCGACTAGGACAGGCTGACTGAATTAGAAAGACACCATTTATAAAGTAATATGAGCTGCTGCTAAATTGCTCGTGAAGAACTTTCAGTTGATAAAGTTTAGCGATTAGGCCAAAAACATTCACTGTAAATATGAAGTTACTTATAATGATGGGGATTTTTTTTACTCTTCATTATGGAATTGAAATACTCATTTCTATTTAAAGACATAGATACACTGTTTAAAAAGCATTTCTTCATTATCAGATTAACCAAGTAAACAGCAGTACAACAAATAGAATCAAGAAATTGGTCTCTTTTGTCCTAGCCTTGTCAAAAGTTTTTGGTTGTATATCTGTATTCATTTCATTTTCTCTTTTTAAATTGTTAAACTTCAGTATATAGCCAATGTTTCAGTCTTGAGTTGATAACTATTTTGAAATACATTCCAATTATGAAATTAATCATAAATTATTATCCTTTTCCATTATCTGAAAATTTCCAATTTCCTACTTAAATTTATCTCTTCCCAAGCTGTTTCTTCTTAACTTGTCCCAGTGATTTTAATACAGAAATAAAAGAAATAGCCATGCTTCTTAGTAGAGAATTAAGTTGTCACTGAATTTTACTCAGGCTAAATATTTGGTAAGAAATTAATAGGGCCACAACTTGTGGAGAAGAGTTTGTATGTGTAGATGAGAAGGAATTGTACATATTGAGTGTTCAGCCATCTGTTCTACATAGATTGTGATATTATTAAGAAATGATTTTAATTGATTTAAATGAAGGTTGGTAAGTAGAGATTTAATTTCATTTCTGAAAATGAGTGATCAGTTCGAGTGTATAGATATTTTCTTAACAAATACTAAAAATGCACATCGCTTTCTTTGAAAACCTAAGTATCTGGAAGTTGTAATCCTGAATACAGCTTTCCCTGGTTTGTTGCAAAGGCACATCAGTGGACAGGAAGACGGGAAGAAAGGGGGACTTTACAAATGTAAAGCATATTCTAAAAACTGGAGATTTTTGTGCTTTAGATGAAATTCAAGTGTATGGGCATCATTACCAATGAATATCACTACCATCGTGGCTTATCACTTGCTGTTCCAGTTTCTGAGACTAGAGACACTGCTGTTCAATTCTTCAGCAATAAGGAAACTGAAGACTGGTTTTTAGTCAATGTTCAAATTATAAAAACCAAACTAGAAGGAAACATATTTGAATGTGCATTGTAGTTTTAAGTCATTTACAAGTTGAATTATATATCTACCTTGTGGTGGACTTTTTTTGTTATTGGCAAGCTGACATCACAGAGAATGGAATTAAAACATTTCACTGTTTGCTATTTTTTTTAATAAAGTAACTCACAAAATGTGACAGGCTAGGAAGCTTATATTCGGAGAGTTAATAGTTACTTTATATAGTCTACTATTTATTGTATTTGAACTTCTTGTATATTCCTGGATATTAAAAAAGAAAATCTTATATCATTTCAAATTCTCAGGTAACATCAAGTCATTGGAATTTATAAGGCCTGTCATGACAGAAGTAAATATCCACTGCATTGCAACTGTTATTGCAGAGCAAAACACTGAAATTGTGAATCTTAGAATGTTAATTTCTGATGCTGTTTGTATAGAAATAAATTTTTGAGTATTAATCCTTTTATGTAAATTAGATTACTTTTCTAGGTTCTTTGGGCTTTTATTAAAAATAAGAGACTTCTAGGGATTTACTTTAGCCATAGAATGGCCAAATGATGATAATGACTATTACTGTTACTAACTGCTAATATTTATTGGGCACTTACTGTGTGCCAAGCCCTATGCTATTTTTTAAAGAATTTTTATAACAGCTCAAGTCTCACAATGGAGACGTTACTGGGCCCGCTCGAGTAAATCAACCAATGGGAGGACAGTGCTACAGTGCTTTTATAACAGCTTAATTGATATACTTTACCATAAATTCATCTTTTGAAAGTGCAACTAGTTTTTCAGTGTATTTACTTAATTGTGCAGTTATCACTGTTATATCATTTTAGAACTTTTTTTCAGTCCATAAAGAAATCTCATATCCATCAGTAGTAATTCCTTCCCCTCTGTTCCCCAACCCTTGGCACCTACCAAAGTGCCTTCTGCTTTCTGTATCTTTTGATTTAAACTGATCTCTGTTCATGTATATTCTCTTTATTTTATTTTTTGTTTTTTGGTCACACGCCGTAATACTTAGGGGTTATTCCTGGTTCTGTGTTCAGGAATTATTCCTGGTGGGCTCAGGGGACCATATGGGATGCCGGGTATTGAACCCAGATCAGCCATGTGCAAGACAAACACCCTACCCACTTTACTATCTCTTTATTCCACATGCGTGTCCTCTTTATTCAATGAAAAGTTCCACAACTCACATTTTACATGTAGAAAAATGAAGTACACAATGATTAGAAAAAAAGCTTGATTGCTACATTATTTAAAATACGAAAAACACATGAAAACATAGACACTGTTTTGAATTGCATTGTTTTGTACATGAAATGAAAACACCATTAGCTATTACATGCTATAGTTGACAAGAGATAGATAACCCTGGTTCTTTTCTCAGAGTAATAGAACACTATGTTAGCAGCATCTGGGGAAAATACAAGAAGAGCAGCCATGCATTGAAGAAGTTAGGTTTGCTTTCCCTCACTTTCCTTGAGTCCCTTTTGTCTCCCATTTTCCACAGTCATCAAATACATATACTCCTCCCCTATTTTTTCAAAAATTTAAGACTCAAATTTTGTCTCTTTTATTCTCCCAGAGGAATCATTAATGATTACAGCTAACTTGCCTGTTTAGGTGTTTATAATTATAATTAAGGGAAGCATCTGATTTCTCCTAGTACCAGATACATTCTTAAGACCACAGAGCAGTATATAATAGAATGCTTTTTTAATTGGATTAAACTAGGTAGGGGGAGAAATAACTAGTAAAGGCTTTGCCTCAATGAGCGCAGTGTCCCTGCTGTGCAGGTGAAGGCCTCATGCTGCTCTTGTTTATTCTTCCAGTGTCTATGCTCTGCACCATCACTGTTGGTATTCTCATGTTCTTTCTGTTCCATTTTAGTTCTGATTTTTTCCCATAAATGGTGATTAATCCATTAAAAGAATAAATCTGTAAAAATGACTGAGTGTTAAATATGCAAATAAATGCTGAAAAAGAAGTTCTTGTGCATCTTATGTTGAAAGGCACAGAGATTTGCTGCATTTTGTTTTCAGATAGACATTTTGTGTCTAAAGAGATATTTGGAGAAATGCATCATTAAGCAATTTTGTTGTGTGACCATTGAAGTGTCTATGTTACTGTCTAAACAATAGTTCTCCATTTATTTTGGTATAACAGTTTATTTTTTTGCTTTTTGGGTCAAACCCAGCGATGTATCGGGGTTACTCCTGGCTCATGCACTCAGGAATTACTCCTGGCGGTGCTTGGGGGACCATATGGGATGCTGGGAATCGAACTCGGCTCGGCCGAGTACAAGGCAAAGGCCCTACCCGCCGTGCTATGGCTCCAGCACCCGTATAACAGTTTAAAGTAACATCCTGGAACAGGATCTGAGTTATTTTTTATTTAAAATTTGTGAAGTCTCTGGCACATTTGCCAATAAGGATTTGGGAAGTACCATCATACTTGTGGTCAATCATTGACTAAAACAATCATTATGCTGTACATGACTATAAGAAATTGTCAATAGGTATCGAATATTATATAGATACTGAATACCATGATATTAGATATTTCATACTGTGCACTGGCAGCAAATTAGAAATTTACTGCACAAAGAATATATACAAGATATTTTACTATCTGGGTTATAAATAGTACCTCCTCTAATCACTGTATACTTTTTTGGTATTTAGGAAGTGTATTGAATCACTTAAAGGAAAACTGGGTAGTAAATAGATGTTGTATAATTAGTATAGGGGTGTGGTGAGAGAAAAGAATAAAGTAAAAATATATTTGGATAGAAGAGTGACCATTGATGACACTGGTGTTCCTATGTTTCTCTACTATAGATCCAGACTATTTGCAACATAACTTTGGGGTTTGTCTCACTAAAATCAAATCTATTCCTACCCCCTGTTTCTGGGTTGGATATTATAGCTTATCTTACCTAATAGAATGTGACCAAATTAATGGTTTGCCAGTTTTGATCCTGAAAAAAGGCTTTGTATATTTCTTTTTTTAAATAATGTAGGAGTACTGCTATTTGTTCAGCCATTGGTTAAGCTGATTGAATTGGGCGTGAACTACGCATTACTTTTTTTAATTTTATTGTATCACTGTGAGATAGAGTTACAAAGCTTTCATGTTTGAGATTCAGCCATACAATGATGGAATACCTATCTCTCCACTAGTGCACATTTTACACCACCACTGTCCCAAGTATCCACCCCGCAAACATACACATGCCTCTGACAGAAATTTCCCTAATAGTGTCTCTCTAATTTTGCATATTATGTTTTGCTCAAATTTTCCTACCACTACTCAAGCCTAAGTGCCAGAGACAGGCGCTAGATAATTTATTTGCCATTGCTCATTTTGAATATCATGAGAGCTTGTGTGGCCACGATTGTAAGTATAAATTTCTAGAATGTAAATGGTTGGGTTCCAGAGACATTTCTGTATGGCACTAATCCATTTTGGTATTAAATTGGGAATCTCTGGGCCAGGGCTGTTGGTGTACTAAAATGGTGCCTGGAGGCAAATTGTGGGCATGACAGCCAGTCTTCTGGGTGGGCAGGGACCCAGGGAGGGACAGCCTAGGACCTCTGCTGCCATGTGGCCTGAAGATTTAGTCCTGGAACCCACATAACTAGGCCTTGTTTGTAGAAGCTCTTGGACACTGAGATTCCATCTGGAGTAGGCGGGGAGACTGCACCTGCTACATCTGGGATGCCCCCGTGATATTGGCTCGGTATGGGGCCCAGAGAGATCTCCAGACTGTAGTGTCTTCCGGGACTTGCTGCTGTGCCTCTGGGCCAGGGCTGGTGGTGTGCAAGATGACACCTGGAGGCAAATTGTGGGCATGACAGCCAGTCTTCTGGGTGGCGGGGGACTCGGGGAGAGACAGCCAGTTCCTCTGCCACCATGCAGCCTGGAGATTTAGTCCTAGAACATGAATACTGAGGGCCTCTTTTGTGGAAGCTGTTGGTCACTGGGATTCCATCTGGGGTGTCCTGGTGAAATTGGCTTGGTATGGGGTCCAGAGAGATCTCCGGCACTCTGGTGTCTTCCAGGACTTGCTTCTGTGTCTCTGGGCCAGAACTGTTGGTGCACTACATTATAAAATTTTCAGCAGATTATATCTTGGTGATGTCCATCCTGAGATGGTGGAGTCAGGCTGAGGGTATGGCAGCAATTTTGAATTGTGGAAGCAAGTGGCTGCTTCAGTAGGCACAGGCCAACCTGCCCCCTCCAATTTACTCCAGTCTGTTCAGCCATGCTGTGTGGGTTCAAGTTTAACTGTGACTTTTGATCTCTTTCATTTAGTGGCCTCTGAAACAAGGCCGGTGGTAGAGCTTACAAGGTGGTGCTGGAATTGGTTAGGGTGACTGCCAGTGCTTCCATG